GGAGTGTTTCAAGAGGGGATGATGTAGCATTTCATGTCCAATAGTTGATTTGACTCAATCCCATCATGAAGTCCATGTAGCACACTTCACTAGCCAAATTTTTGGCCATAATCCCTTAAGTTTGGCCGGCCAAGTGAAGGAAGGAAAGAGAAAAATGAAACCTAACCCTTGTACCTTTGTCTACTTTCTAAATTTACTCATTAAACTGTCCAAAATTATACTGACAGCTATTTTCTCCTGTATGCGGGTACTGGATGCTAGTTTGTATTGTGCTTGGAAATTCTTAAAATTAATGTTCTCAAGCTGTATCTGTACTAGAAATTCTTCCGTTTTAAAGTACGGTGAGAATTTATCGATCGAATTTACTTGATCGAAAAATTGTGAACTTAACGTGAAATCTGCTACAGAATTTAGGAATGCAGATGTTAATTCCATAAATCCTTCAATCACAAAATGTACATAGTATAATGATTTTCCAAGAAAATCCTTGACTTGAATACATGAATTATATTATTAAAATTATGAGATTTTTCTTGGTCACTACAGGTACGTCAGAGGGAATGCGTCACTAAAAGCGTTGTAAAACCCCCCAAGATTCAAATTAGACAGATTGATAGACTTTTATTTTTATTATTTTTTTATTTATTTTTTATAGACAAGAATGCTTGTAAATTTAATGGCTTATGCATACACAAATGGCTAACATCAAATTTACAAATCAAAATAATATACAAACCTGAAATACAATTAGAGAATCTGCTATATCACCTTTGCCACGCTTACAATTTCAATTCCAGCAAACTAATGAATTATAATTCTGGCAGTAACCAGAGACAAAAATCAAACAATCTTGGAAGTCCAGGAGAAAATTTACTCGAAACATAGCGATAAAAATAACTTCGTGGTTTTGTCAATTGGCTTAACTAATATTGGCGACATCTACCCCTTCTGGGATCTTAAATGTGTCTGCTGCTCCAAACTTCCTATACTCTTCACCTTCATCTGCAAAGTCTTCTCCATTGCTGTCATCTTCATCACCTTCGTGACTTGAAGGTGTCGAGGGGTCAAAAACACTTTTAGACCTACAATCACGGGTAGCAAGCATGTTCACCTGGCCAAGGTGGGAGATTTCTACCACAACAGTGTCTTCGTTCGCTGGGAGTGGTTGCTTCCACGGTTCTCCATCAATCCTCATATAGGTGTGATCAGCGGCACCTTTGTGAAACTCAAAGCGGATTCGGTGTGCCTAAAACCATAAACCAACGAATGAAAAACTTCATATAATGGTACAATATGATATAATGGATTGGGTATTCATATTGAAACTGATAAGAATAGATCACCCTGGAAGACCTATTGTGAAAACAAGTTCTGAAAATGAGATCCAGAAATCTGCAATTACTTTGTATGGTAGGAAAAACATGTCTATATTTAATTTACCTGTGCAAGACGAGCCCCGTGCCCATTTGGAGCAAGCAAAACAAGCCCATGCCAGGCATCTCTAAAACCAACAACCTCAAGAAGGCCATCATCAACATATGGTGGAGTCAAGTCTCTCTGTGAAGTCATAATCCATAGAGGAATTTATCTTGTCAAAGCTAATAAGGAGATCAGATCACTATTCAGGATTAAAACAGTTAAAGAGGATAACTCATTTATTTATTTATTATTAAATTTGCTGAATTAAGTCATTTATTTGGACCTACATCTTGGCGTTTCCTGCTGTTTGGTGTTCCCCAAGGGTTTAATCCGCCAGAAAAGCTAGGCAAATTGAGACACACAATTGACCGGATGCTGTAACAAAAACAGTGTGTCAAGAAAACCACAATAGAGAGGTAAAACTACACGAACTACTAGGAAACTAGAGCGCCTCTTTTAAGCAATCCAAAAGATATCTCCCTTCTCTAATAAAGAACGAGATTATGGAAAAAGGACGAGCAAAATGAAGCTTGGGAAGAACAGGTAACTGGAATGTAACTAGAACATATACTTCATGTAGGATTCATTTTCGATCTCTGACTCAGAGAAAAATGGGTAATGAGTGTGATAAATTCGTGTTGGGCAAAACAAGAGCCATATTAACTAAAAAGATGACGGCTAAGAGTTAAATGTGGTAATGACTCACCCATATGGACATTGTTTTTAACATTAGAAAACTTTGTAGTGGGCCAGAGGTTAAATACAACAAAATCGTGACTAGAAATAGAAACAAAAGTTTACCTCTGATGTATAGCGAGTTCTTCCCAGTTATCACGCTTTTTCATTATAAACACCTTTGCAAGCTGGGCTATGTTCCTGTATTAAGAATTCATTGCTATAAGTATTTACCAAGAATATGACTACAGAAAGATAAGCTAACTTAGGACCCAACTGTGTCAATTGATTGGATTGTAGACAATAAATCACATTCCATCAGTATGTAGTTTAAGCCTCAAATGCGGACGGAATTATCTAAAAAGCATTTTGCTTCTAAAAGTTTATCAAAGTATCCACACTCAGGCAAAGATCGGATGAAGTGCATACTGCCATAAACAAAAGAAGAATATTTTTGTTTTTCATTGGTACTTTACTTCATATCACTGATACATAAAGACCAAAGAAGAAGAAGAAGAAGGAGCCATGATGCTAAGTCCTTAATGTTAGAAGTTTGATGCATATTAATGTTGGTATTTATCTCAAAAGTAAATTAACCTTTGAATGTTGCATTGTGACCTGCTGAAATATTTATCTAATAGGTCCCAAAACCGACACCTCATAGCATCTAAATCTATAAAAGATAAAAGGAAGAGAAAGAAAAATCTTGGTTATCCCTTGTGTGCTTGGCCATCTCTATACTTACCGGGAAGAGGGATGGAAAAGGGAAGCACAAAACCAGCCTTGGGTACACCCAATCTTCGCATATGTTCCCTGTTTGAAGTTGAAAAAGAAGAAATGGATATTATTAGAATTTTCAAAAGTAAAACGCATATGATAATCAATGCGCGGGAAGTACCTGATTAAATAACTGATTCTTAAATTTCTCAGGATGCAACTTCCGCTCAGAATGAAAAGCATATGATACTTGAGCATCCATTCCTATAGACAACAAAGGTATCAATGTCAAAAAGAAAATTGAGGTCCGAGCGGATGGTCATCAACACTGAACTTAAAATTTCCATTCATGCTTCAAGGTAAACATGGTAGATAAGATAATTAAGCCAAAATGAAACAGATTATTTGCCTATTTTAGCGAGTGATATAAAAAATGAAAAGAGAAGGTAGACACCGAGAGAGAGAGGTTATGAATACTAAAAACAAAACTCTGAATAAGGTCACTACAAGGGTACTAGTCTTACCCATGCTGAAGTAGTTCCAAAATCCCCCACGAAAAGTAATATAACCCTCCTGACAAGAAGCCCAAAGTTTAATTGTATAAGAAGAAGACAATTGAAGACTGAAGTAGTTAAATCATACTTTCCCAGAGGGAAGTCAGTCAAGCCAGAAGGCAGAAAGTTACTCCTTTCCTAATTGTTCTTAAGACTTTGTAAACAGATCAGGGAAATCAGTGTTTCAGTCAAATGAATAATAATAATAATAATAGAAATTTGCCTTTCGATTTGAGCGTACACAGTGGATGCAGTTTCGATAAGTACAAGCAACCTGGGGCAATAAAATATATTTTTAAAAAGGCATGTGATGTTTACCCGGTTTAGCTCATCTGTCTCAGAGACACGTTGAAATGCATGAAGAGAATGTGGTAATTCAAGAGGCGGAATGGGATCACATGAACCTTCTTTTGGAGGCGGCATCCTCATCACAATATGCCAGCTAACGACAAAACAGAAAAGCAGTTCAGTATCCGCGTATACGAGAGAAATGGAAGGTTTCAAAAACAAAATAAGCCTTGGAGAAAAATAACGACCATGATATAAGGCTACCTGTCTATTTTCATTTCCTTTGCATCCTTTACTTGAGCTAAAAATGACTCCACTGAGCGACGATCAGTCCCAGGATTTCTCTTCCCCTGAAAAACACAACACCGCCAACCTTTAATATTTGTGATTAAACCATGATGGATTATGGAATTGTCTCTCAAAACAAGAAGATTGCAGATTCCAATGCATATCAGCTCTTTTAATTAGGTGAAAATAAGTCTTCCAGAACATAACAGAAAAACTTAACATAGACGGTTATACGTGAAAAAGAAAATAATGTGTCGCATAACAAATGCTTTCAACAAATTTGAAAGGAAAAATAGGAAAAGGTATCCTAAGATCCACTGAAACTGTGAAGAAAGCACAAAGAAGCACTGAAGCATTTTAAGGTTACTTCAATTCATAATGCTCTTCCTACCCAGCCAAATGCAAATGGAAGATTATTTCCTGTTCCCAAGGGCACTGTTGCAATTGGTGGTAGACGAGACAACTTGAGATCAGAAACAACTCCAAGAAGCCACCCAGCAGTTCCATCACCTCCTGCAACCTGAAGGGCCAAAAATTACATGTTAGAAGATGTAGCATAAGTAAGGATTTGGGTTTTCTCTCTCTTCCTTCCTTTCGACTATGACTCTCCCACTCCGGTTATTGTTTTTCTTTCCGTTACTTTTTCTCTCTGTTCCTTCCTTTCGACTATGACTCTCCCACTCCAGTTATTGTTTTTCTTTCCGTTACTTCGAAAGTAGTTGCTTAAGCTTCAACCACTCAAATTTCGATGTCCTTTTTTTATTTCTCATGAAACAAATGGCATATTTTTCTGGAAATCCTAGCTACTCTTAGGATGATATTCGGGAATTCCATTGATATTACTCGAACAAACATGAAACGGCTACTAGTAATACAAATGAATAGAAAGCAAGCCATCGAATGGTAAACTTAAAAAGGGGATACACCAATTACCAATTTAAAAAGTTAAAACTTGGAACTCAAGAGAAACTCACAATTAATCTCAAGTTCTCCTCAATATGTTTAGCAAGCTTATCTCCTTCACTCTTGAGCCTTTCAAGATTCACGTAAATTCGGCGCAGCACCACATCAGGAGCTTCTTGCCCCAAATCAAAGACCTGAAATTAGCTACTTCTATGTCAACCTCTTAAGAACCAAAATCTATCCAAAACTTGAAGGAAAAAAAAAAAAAGAAGAGTAAAAGTAAACATTGAAATATACCTGATTTTCATTGAGAATAGAACGGTAGGTCTGAAGAAGATCGCCGCCCAATTGACCACCACTTTTGGAGTTGATGAAGATTATCACTGGATACTTGGGTTCATGGTGAATCTCATCGTTTAATTCAGGTGATATTATGTAATTAGGAATCCGAAATTCCTTCACGAAGTTGGTCTCGGAATCAGAATCTGCCATTAAAAATCTGATCCACCTGTGGAGTTAAATGAAAAGTTGATGTTACGTTTAGGAGAAAATGTAGGAAAATATTACTCAGAATTTTAATCACTATTAATCAAACTGGGAAAAGATAGACAAAAAAAAAAAAAAAAACAAAATAAATGTAAACCAAGTTATACACAAGTAGGCGACAAATCATTGTTGCTTTGATTTTGATATTGTGGTGAAAGATATTTCAACACCAAACAAGGCAACATAATCAAATTAATAATAACATAAAAATTACGGTACTTTTTTTCTAGAAGCAAAAAAGAAAAAAAGAAAGTCTCTTTTAAGCTGATTAAACTCGGAATATACCGGAAAGAAAAGAAAAGAAAAACACATCCAAATGCACAAGTCTGTCTCTATAAATTCTCAACTTTATGGAATGTAAATCACTTTAAAACAAAAAAAGCAAAAAAATAGATCAAAAGCTAGGACTAAAAACTTTGTAAAGCAATACAATTTCTTCTGCGTTTCCTTGTGCCCGAAACAGAGCCAGTATAACAATTATATATATACACACACAAATATATTGAATTCCGCACAGAAGCGAATGAATTCAAGAACCTTATTAGGAGAAAAGAGGATTCAAATTACCTGGAAAAAGAAATGAGATATAAATCTGCAGAGAGATCCAATTCAGAATTGAGAAGACATGTGATTTTGGTGTTCAGATCTACGGAATTACAAGACATGACGGAGAGAGAAAAAAGGAAATATTTATCAATTGGAACGCTTGTGCAGGAGGATACGGAGGGACGCGTTGACTCTTTCCACATGTAAAATAAAACAATTATTAATGACTAAAAATAAAAAAAATAACAAAACGTGATTTTTGATTATTTAATGAAAAAGGAACGTGATTTTAGCACTGAAAACGATGTAAATATCATTAAGCAAATAAAACGAGGACGTGGCGCGAAACTTACCATACTGGGTAATAGGTATCTAAGAGTATCTTGAACAATTCTTTTTTTTTTTCCTCAAGAGAATCTTCCCACTTTACTCACAGTTACCACTTACTAAGGGGTTGTTGTTTTACAACGAAATTAAGAAAAAATTTAAACTTAAATTATAATCTTATTTAAGTTCACGTTCTTTTAAGTTCTAATTTTATTTAACTTTACTCAACTTTATTCAAGTTACAACTTCAATTTAAATTATAACTCAAATTTAACTAAAAAATTACACTCAAATCACACTCTAAAAGAACAACTCCCAAGTTACCAAAACAACGTAGCCTAAAAAGAAAAGAAAATAGAAAGGAAGAAAAATGATTTTTATAATGATGAGTCTTATTAGGTTGGATCCTTATTTATTCAATTAGTGAGATTTACGTAGTCGGATTTTAACCTATGAGAATAGATAGGGATGCTTAAAAAAAAAAAAAGAGAGAGAGATTTAAATGTTTATTATTTTTTATTTTTCCTCAACAAAAAAGAAGGAAGTTTAGTGAAGTGTTTGCTTCATAATTAGACATTTTTGGTAGATCCCTAAGTCCGTATTGGCTGCTGTCTATATATATATATATATGCGCATGTGTATATTATTATTTTTTGAATAATGACTCGTTTTACTTTAATTCTCTCAAACATTATTAAATAAAGAAGTTTATTTAGTAAGATCAGAATAATAAACTATAATAATATTATACTTTTAATATTATATATTTTTTTAATTTAATATAATTTTGATTAAATTTAATAGTCAGAAATTGTAGTGACGGAGTTAAAATTTTTTATCAGTGGGGCTAATAATTGAAACAAGAATTTAATAGGATTATAAGATTAATATCTAAATTTTTAGTGGGGCTATGTGTTTTTAAAATAAAAATTTTGAATGAGGGTTTAAATCCCCGCCGAACATTGAGTAGTTATTTTTTTATTTTTAATGAGAAATTGACCCTACCAGACTGCCAGTAGGGAAGTCCTGTGGAAAAAGAAAAAACCCCACTTAATAGTAGGATCCGACGTCAGATCCCATCTAGTGAAGCAAACGTCTTGATGGGATGTCCTCTGATGTGTTGGACATCAAATGGTGGAAGGAGGCAAGGAGCGCCGTCGAATTTGGTCACTTGGTCGTATGATCTCTAGATCATTTTCCTGTCACCATCATTATTAGCCCGCGTTTGGTACGCAAAAATCAGTAAAAATTATATTCTCAAAAAAGTGATAGAGAGTAATATGATTCATAAGAATAATATATTATTATGTTTAGTTTCATACAGAAATTTTTTTCAAATTCTCAATAATATTACATTACTGTGTTTAGTTGTTCGCATGGAAGAATATCCATAATAATAATAATAATAATAATAATAATAATAATATTATTATTATTATTAATAAAAATATAAAGAAAAAATATTAATATTAATATTAATAAATCTAATAATAATAAAACTAATAATGAAAATAATAATAATAATAATAATAATAATAATAATAATAATAATA